TCTATTATGTGTGTCATTTCTGGGTCTCTTTTGAATGATCATTTTTTAATCTCCTGCTTATGGATAATATTTTGTACTTTTTTATTTAAAAAATTTTGGATGGGTTGATAAACACTGTGATTTTTATATTGCTTTGTGCTGAATTTCATTGTATTCTTTTAGATGTTGTTGGGCTTTGTTCTGGGACATGTTTAAGTTATTGGAATTAGTAGGATATTTTTGATATTTTCTTTCAAATTTTAAGGTTAGTCCAGAGAAACTTTTAGTACCAATTTACCTCAACTATGCAAGAAATACTGTCTATTTGATGCTTCCATGTTTTAAGAGTTCCTGCCATTCTGGCTGGTGGAAACATAAACTACTCAGCCCTCTATAAGCTCCAGCAATGGTTCTGCCAATCCTTCCTGTTGGCTCTTTGCCTAATCTTACATAGTTTTCTCAAACGTATTTGTAGATTAGCCAAAGAACCAAGGGGATTCTCCTTCAAATTTCTGGAAAGTTCTCTGTATACAGATCCTTTCTATCTGTAATTTTGCCCCATAAATTCTACCTGTTGAGCCTTTTAAACTCCAAATTCTGTCTTCTGAACTTGAGACCACAGGACTGTTTGTTTTTTCTCTTTCTATGCCTGGAAAGCCCCTCTAGTCCATACAGTAAGGCAACCACAGGATTCATCTCATTTGCTTCTTTTCTCTCAAGGATTGCTGCCCTGTGCTACATTTTGTACAATGGTTCAAAACTGCTATTTTTATGTATTTTGTTCACCTTCCAAGTTGTTAAGATGGGAGGGTATATCTTGTCCTTTCTAGTCTTTCCTGTACAAAAGTGGATGTCCATCCCCACCCCCTTTTTATATTTCCCCTTTTTTTCCTCTCACTTTTTTATTTTATTTATTTATTTATTTATTTATTTATTTATTTTTAAGATTTTATTTATTTGACAGAGAGAGCACAAGCAGAGGGACGGAGAGGAAGAAGCAGGCTTCCAGCTGAGCAAGGAGCCTGATGTGGGACTCGATCCCAGGACCCTGGGATCATGACCTGGGCTGAAGGCAGCCACTTAACGGACTGAGCCACCCAGGCGTCCCTTCCTCTCACTCTTCTTTTCCTTATCTTTTTATCCTCTTTGTTTTACAAGATAAAGTACATGCTCATTTTGGAAAATAACTTAAAACAGAAATTAAGATTTAAAAAGAAGTTAAAATTTGGGAAAATAGGTGATTGAATAACTTTCCATGCAGTAATGCAAGAGTAAAAAAAAAAAAAAACCTAAGAATTAAATGTATAGGCTATAATAGAACTGATATTGATTAGGTCTATGATACCATATATTTACCTCTCCTCTCTCTCTTTAATCTATCTAGGTTATCTATCAATATTCTATCTCAAGATAAAGAAATAAAGACAAAAGGAACAAAATTAGAAGTAAAATGAGCCAATGACAGAACTGTCACATGGAAGGAAAATTAATGAAGATATGAGGAAAGATGTTGGCAATGTATCAGTATCCAAGGAATGAAATTATCCTTAAAAATACTACTTCCCTCTTTTCAAATAAAACATTTCTCCTTAAAACAAAGGCAATATTGATGTGGAAGTTTACTCTAAATGCAAACTTCGTCTATACTGCCACTTATGTGAAGAGACTTAAGTGATTCTTTAGATCAAGCAATAGCAAACTCTGGCCCATGGGCCAAATCCAGTCTGCTGTCTGATTTTATAAATAAAGTTTTATTGGAGAATTGCCATACTTACTCATTTACATATTGTCTATGACTGCTTTTTCACTACAACAGTTGAGTAGCTACGATACAGACTGTGTGGCCCAGAAAAACTAAACTGTTTATTGTCTAGCTCTTTACAAGAAATATTTATCAATCCCTGCTCTAGACCATAGCTGTCCAACAGAATTTTCTGTGACAATGGAAGCATTCTAATCTACATTTCCAACATGGTACCCACTTCCAATACGGTATGATACATGTAGCTATTGAGTACTTCAAATATGGCTAATGCAACTGAAGAATTGATTTTTAAATTTAATTAATTTTAAATAATTTAAATTAAAATAGCTACATGTGCCTAATGGCTACAGTACAGCTGTACAGGACAGCACAACTCTAGATCAAATTCCTTTTTTGGGGTAAAGATATTTATATCTTTCTCAAGCAGAACTAGGCCTAGAACTCGAGCTTTCCAATACCTAGTTCAGTGTCTTATCCACTAAACCAAGCTCCCCTTCTGCTACCTTCTGTGGTTAATTTTAGCTCTTGACATTTATTTTTACAGAAGGTCCTCTATATCTGAGTAATCATTTTTTCTGTCCCTTCAAGTTACCAAATTGTTTAAAGGAAGCTAGAGTCTTCAAAATAGGAAAATTCTCGCTCATGAAAACCATTTACAAAATGTTACCCAAATAACCTCCCTCCTTACTAACATGGCATCTTTCCTACCCATCAAGTCAACAGCTTTGTTGTTCAGTTTATTACTGGTCAATGTTATAAACAGCTAACAATAAAATGGAAATACACTACAAATTGAATACAAAGTCCAAAGGTACAGATATAAAATTTCCTGAAGTCAAACATTAAAATGATGTTGGAGAAATACTTGAAGCACCTGTGAAGCCACTGATGAATCAGAAACTGATTAACCTAAAACTGTTAACCTAAAAAAAGAAATATCATAAGAATTTGAATATAAAAGGAATTATAGAAGACCTAGGAAAAACTTGTTATACCTCTCAAAATTTTTGCAAAAACAACTTCCTTGAGGTAATGGTACAGAAAAATCAAGTGCGAGATGAAGTATATCCTGTACTGTCACACAATTTTGCCAGAAAAATTAGGCCATGAAAGCAAACTTTATTCATTCTTTCCCTGTTTTAGAAATTAGTGTATGTTGCAATTAGAACCTAAATAAAATACTGATTAGAAATGAGTTAACATAGCAGGCCTGAGACTGCTATCCAGAGAAGCTGCTTGCAAGGTTGGCCTTTAGCTGACATCAATGAACTTGGCTGGTAAACAGTACCCTACGTTGACAGAAAACTTTCCCTATCGATAACGGTAGTTTCTTTGCTTAAACATTCTATACAAGCAATGTGGTTTGTGCTCTTAGGAGTCTGGAATCTCGGTATGTCCTAGACAGAGGGTGCTTACATGACCAGCCCCAATATAAATCTTTGAAACTGAGTTTCTAATGGGCTTCCTTGAGTGGAAACACGGAAATGACATTTTTGTTGCTGGGGAAAAGGTAAGCTGTGAGTGACCTCTCATGAGGAAGACAGCCTAATAAAGCCTTCACATAAATACCTCCAGATTCAACCTCTGTTTTTTTCTGATGAGTCAGCTGCATATCCTTACTACACTGCTGTAAGAAATCTTAGCTATGAGGGGTGCTTGGGCGGCTTATTTGGTTAAACATCTGCCTTCGGCTCAGGTCATGATCTCAGGGTTCCTGGATTGAGCCCCACGTGGGGCTCCTGCTCAGCGGGGAGACTGCTTCTCCCTCTCCCTCTGCCCTTCCGCCTATGCTCTCTCAAATAAATAAAAGCTTTAAAAAAAAAAAAAAAGGAAAGAAAAAAGAAATCTTAGCCATGAGTACAACTGTATGCTGAGTTCTGAAAGTCCTTCTAATCAATTCCCAAATGAAGGGGTGGTATTAGGGACCTCCTTATTTTCTTTGTTTTATATTGCATTTTTCAGGATAATGTCTAAAAATGTGATTTTCCTACTACAGAATTTTGGCCTTTATTTAAGTGGTTTCACTTTAAGTGGCCTTTTCCCTGTACATATAACCAGTAAGCTCATTAATTTAATGATTCTTCCTGTTTGCCTTCTTCCATTTCATGATCACATAACCTTGAGATTTTGTCTATTCTTTTTTAATTTAAATATCTTAAAGGCCAAAGAGCTTCTTTGCTCAAAAGAAGCCACTCTGGACATTAGTCCACCCATCTGGTATTATTAATATTGTTTTGTTTTGTTTTTAAGTAGGCTCCACGCCCAGGATGGAGCCCAATGCAGGGCTTGAACTCACAACCCTGAGATCAAGACCTGAGCGAGATCAAGAGTTGATTGCTTAACCAACTGAGCCACCCAAGTGCCCCTTTCTGATATTATTCTTAATCATTAGTTTATATCTCTTATTGCCGCAAATCATAAAGTCACTACTATTCCTTCACGTGACTATCTTTAGGCTGAAAATAGTGGGGATATGCTTTCATAAAATTAACAAAAAATCACCAGGGTCTTAAAAATACCTAGAGACAGATAAATTGGTGTTAGTGAGGGGTTCAAGGTATTTTTTTTATGAACCTTGGTTTTATATGTTGTTATTGGTGGTGGTTTCCTTCACTATTTTTTCAAAGCCAATGATTAGTCCTGAAGTCTACATTGCCTACTGATAACAATAAAAGTCTTCTGCTCAGATTTGTCAAAGATGAGTTTAAAAACCTTAAGGATTTTAAGGTCTATATTTGAAATTCAGTGTTACTGAAATAATGACCTTAGTAATTTTCTTTTGTGATGGCCGTCCGATTAAGAAAAACAAAGGAGAAAAATATACAACAAACCCTCAGGAACATGCATTTTTACCGATTTCTTTGAAACCTCAAACCCACTGAGAAATTTTGAGTTAAAAACCATCTGTCAACATATATTATCATTATAATTAGACTCTTTTATCACAACAGCAAATCATTTAAGACAATTAAAAATGGAATGTATTAGATTTATAGCCTACGTTTACCCTGAGACATTTCATTTTATTCTAACTTACATGAATTTTATGAGGCAGAGACAATGGAAAAACAATTCATTAGTTAATATGATTTTCCAATCTATACATAATATCCTATCTTCGTTTAAAATTTTAAGCAGGTTTTAAAAATCATTTATTTTAAGGAATTACTTTAGTGCTCAGTTTGAAATACCTTAATTTTCTTCACTCATTTTTCCAAGAAAAAGTAAAAGGAACCCAGTCTGATGTGCACTGTACCTTTAAATGATCGTTGGCAGCAGCATCATGTAGGGGATTAATCCCATCTAGATTTTCACAATTAACATTAGCACCAGCTTTTAACAACTCTACAATTATATCATTAGATCCCTCACTAGATGCCTCATGAAGTGGTGTCCAACCTAAAAAAGGAAAAAAGAAAATAACAAAACAAGCTGCTACTTACAAATCAACATTCATGTACTATCTTCATTATTAAGTTTATTTGCACTAATGCAATGAATATCTATATTGATTCAAATGTATATACTAAGTATTAGACAAGAAATAATATTGAAAACTATGGTTTTGAAATGTTTCAATTTTGAAAACCAATCTCATCAAAAATATTTGTTGATCCAAGGGCCAAAACAGAAGACTCACAGAACATAAAATATAATGGGACTAGAGTAAAACTAATCACGTCAATTTGTTTCAACTCAGATATTAAAATAGAGTAAGATCAAGTCTGCCTTCCCCATTTGTATTACTGCACTGTCATATATCGCTCTAAAATGACATACGATTCTTGAAATCAATCTTTTGAGTTTTTCCCTGTTAACTCCTCACACAAGATTTTTTTGTGCTTAAGCAAAATGTTAGATCAATTTAAAAATGGAGGCTGAAAATAAAAATAAGGAAAGAGAGAAACAATGAATAACGTAAAGAGAGGAGAAAGAGAAGGGATAGGGAAATGGGAAAAAATTGGCACTCTCTACAAAGTCAGAGTTTAGTATTCAGATCTCCAAGAAAAAGACCTAAATAAAGCTCCCTTTACTCCCCATTCTGTATACTTCCTCTGAATGCTCCCACATGTATCTTAAAAACTGTTTCAGAGGAGGTTATTTTAGCAACTGGTGAAAACCAAGATAAATTTAACTATTCAACTAAATAATATATTTTTAAAAAAACAGTTCAAAGTTAGCAGCCAGGATCAAAACCGGGGAAGGGTGGATGAAATGTGTATTTCAGTGAGTTCAAGTTATAAACACAATTAAAATTTCAAGAATCCAAACCTGCATTATCTTTTAGATTCACATCTGCTCCAGATTCTATTAGAGCCTTCAACAGAGTCAAATTTCCTCTTCTGGCAGCCAAATGAAGTTGGCTTTCCCCTCTGGCATTCCTCTTATTGATCCCAGCTGTTTTTACTTCTGTAAATTTGCCAAGTAAAACTGAGCCTTCTTTTCTGTCAAATGCTGATCATTACAAAGGAGCTTAGAAAATACACAGCAACTTCCTCAAATATCCTACGTAGGGTGCTCTATACAAAACATGTATCAATATCATCATTGCTATTACTGTTTTAAAATATAACTTGTGAAGGCATTGTAGAGCATCTAAGTACATTACTTTGCATTCATTCCAACAGCTGTTTAGTCACCCTACCATAAGCTTGATTAAAACAAACTTGCTTCAGTTCTACCCTCATTTCACTCTCAGTAGTCCTTTAACAATGGACAAAATTTTTCTTAAAACAAATTGTGATTTTATAAAACATCTCTTTCTATAGCTCTTCTCTATCCCAGTGAGTGTGTTTCTGATCACAAAAGACACCAAAAACTGAACCATGGCCCAATGGATTATTTTTTTTCAAAAAACATGCAATACAACATCATTATCCAAAGATTTAAAAAAAAATCTTCTTGCACCACAAGTTAGAGACTTAAATTGGAGCTAAAAAAAAAAATGGACCATATTTTCCCCTCAATTTCCTCCCCAAACCATGCTAAAATGATAGTAAATTTTTTTTTATAGATTTTATTTATTTATTTGACAGAGAGAGACACCTGAGAGAGAGAACACAAGCAGGGAGAGTGGGAGAGGGATAAGCAGGCTTCCCGCTGAGCAGGGAGCCCGATGTGGGACTCGATCCCAGGACCCTGGGATCATGACCTGAGCCGAAGGCAGATGCTTAACGACTGAGCTACACAGGTGCCCCGTAAAACATTTTTTTTTTTAATACCATAAAAAGAAAATAGAAGAGGAAACAATAGAAGACAAAGACTTCAACAACTTTTTGGGAACTGGAAAATCACTGCTGGAGAAGAGTTAACCAACTTGATGAAGTAGGGGAAATGCCTCAACCCAAATGCTAGCAAAAAGAATTAGGGAGAGAGCCCACCTGAACCGAGCACTTGGGGGCATCAAGTATGGTGAAAGGCAGTGTTCATGGAACTGGGCTAGAAACATGGAGACTGAATGAAAGTATATATATACAAAAGTTGGGAGTCCAAGTTCCCTTCTCCAACCCTGAATTGTCTGGCAACCTTTCCTCTTACCCAAGGTTCCAATCCCCAAGCCATGAAACTGGAGATTTATTTTCTGTAGAAATCACATCAGAGAATCTTCAGAGTGAGACACAAGGAAGGGAAAGTAGAGGATTAGAGTGATGAAACAGAAAAGAATATTCATTAAACCAGCAGTCCTCAAATGTAGTCCCAGATTAGCAGTGTCAGTGTCACCTGGGAAACTTGTTAGAAATGCTAATTCTCAGACTATGGACTCTGAGAAACAAACTGAGGGTTTTAGAGGGAAGGAGGTGGGGGGGATGGGTTAGCCCGGTGATGGGTATTAAGGAGGGCACGTATTGCATGGAGCCCTGGGTGTTATGCACAAACAATGAATCATGGAACACTACATCAAAAACTAGTGATGTAATGTATGGTGACTAACATAACATAATAAAATAAAATTAAGAAAAAAAAAAAAGAAATGCTAATTCTCCAGCCCACCCCACAAACCTACTGTGGAGGACAGATTTTAAAGTAACTCCTAATGATCCCCATCTCCTGGTATTCATGGCCTTGCATCATCCACTCCTCCTGAAGAATTTCCTTCTAACCAATAGAATACCTCAATATTGAGGGTATTTCACTTCCTTGATCAGGTTATAAGAGATTGTAACATTTTCTGTCTTGCTAGCCAACTTGCTCTGTCACCTTCAGCTTGCATGTTTTGATGAACCAAGAGGACACACTGGAAAAGCTCATAAAGGAAGAAACTGAGGATGACCACAAGGTTGCCACAACCCTCAAGGAAGAGAATTCTGACAACAACCACATGAGCTTGAAAATGGATCCTTCCCTGGTTGAGCCTTCAGATGAGACCCCAGTCTTGGCCAACACCTTGATTGTAGCCTATGAAATATCCTGAGCAGAAGACCTGCCTAAGCCATGCCCAATTCCTGATTTACAGAAACTGTAAGATAAAAAATGTGTGTTGTCTTAAACTGCTAAGTTTGCAAATGTGTAATACACTAATAGATAATACACCTAATGATTCAGACTTTCTGGGGGTAGAGCCCAGTAATCTGTGTTTTAACAAGCTTTCCAGGTGATTCTGATGCAAGATAAAGTTTGAGAACCACTGCATTAAACCTTAAGACTCTCTTCCTGTTCTATTTCCTAAATGCCATAGCAGATAGGCACATAGTTGCTGGGCAAGAGATAAAAAGTTCAGAGAATTACTCTCTAAAAGATGGATTCTTCAGTTATGTGAATCACAGGGAAGACTGACAGCCTCATGTCTACATTCCCCTGACATCTAGACAAAATCATACTGCTCTTACAAATCTGTACTCGGAAATTCTTTATTCAAAGAATAAAGATATATCTATTATATATACATATATAGAGAATATATTTTAAAATTATGAAATATCCAAAACAGCAGACCTGTAGTTTGCAAGTTTGAATTGAAAAATCTCTCCAATAATTGTTACTGTGAGTGGTACAAATCCTCTCACCTAGATCATGGTATGTTGTAGCAAAGAAGGTAGGCACATGGTAAACATTTTGGGGCAAAAACTCAAAAATTATTCCATTTTACTGTCATCATAAATTTCTATGCATGTAACTAAAATTTTAAAATAAAATCTGGAAAAAACTGGAAAGGAAGCAAATAGGACTCACACTAACTTCACAAAAAACTTCTTCATAAAGTCCACTGTGGTTAATGCTTAGTTAGTACTTCTTAATAACATTATACTTTATTAACAAGTTAATAAACATTAATTGATAATATATGTAATAATTGGTATAAAATATTATTTATTAATAAAGTATAATGCTACTAAGACATACTCAGCTTTCAGTTACTTCGTATGTGATTATTATTTTTTTTTTTTTTACTCTCTGGAAACTCAAGATCCTTAATTACATCTGCAGAGATTCTTTTTCTATTTAGGTAAAATTCACTCTTTTATATAAGATATTATCACAGGTTCCAGGGATTAGGACATGGACATGTTCTGGAGAGCCACTATTCAACCCACTAGAGGATGGATGTCTAAGAAGGGCTTTAGATTATATGAGAGGCGGACAATGGGAGAAAGTTCACAGAGTATGCCTAATCCAGTGTCCTTCCTACCTCTTAATAGACAATAGATAAACAAACTTTTCAGTGTTTACTGTTTAACCTGAAGTGGCTTGGCTTAGCCTATTGTTCACCACAGAACTAGCTCCAAGAACTGTTAAAGGATAGTTAACTTGTCCATACTGCCAAACACATGCAGTTCATTCATCTGACAAAAAGCAACCGGTGGCCATTCTTTAATTTGCCTTATGGTGAAAGGGCTCAATGGAAGTATCTAAGGGATCTGGCACAGTTCAGATGCACTGCCCCCACTCAATATTCTTGCTGTCTCTCTGTTTATCTTACCTCCTCTAATATTTAAAATTAGAAGTCATAGGCAGAAACATGACAAGATGTATCTGAAGACTAACAGATTCTCATGTGGTACTTTATAGTAAAACAATCTAAAAAATATAGCTGAAATAATCTTATAACTTAGTGAATGAAAAAAAAACAACAACAGTAAATCTGAAAGTTTAGAATTGCTGGCCTTGATCATGTCAACTTTTACCTATACAGGTATAGGAATACAAACCTTGGCTGCAGGTAGCTTTCAAGAAATTTTGCCTTTTTCTGAAATTCTGAACTTTTTTGTGTTCTTGGATATTAGATATGCAAACTTCAGAATTTGTTTTTTCTTTTTTCTCACCATTTCTCATAGTGCTTTCATCTCCATTGATATTATTAGTTAATTCCTCATCTGAAAAACAAACATTTTGCAACCTCAGTGTTGCAGTTCTTTTTTTTTAATTTTTTTTTAAAGATTTTTTTTTATTTATTTATTCATGACAGACAGAGAGAGAGAGAGAGAGAGAGAGGCAGAGGGAGAAGCAGGCTCCCAAGGAGCAGGGAGCCCGATGCGGGACCCGATCCCAGGACTCTGGGATCCTGACCTGAGCCGAAGGCAGGCGCTTAACCACCTGAGCCACCCAGGCGCCCCTCAGTGTTGCAGTTCTTGTTACTGGTTATATGATTAGAAAAGAGTCTAGCCTCATAACTGTTCCAAATTTCTGTTCCTAGCTGGACTGATTTTTTAAAATTTTATTTTATTTATTTATTTTTTAAGGGAATGAAACCCTTTAAAAATGTTTTTAGGGGCACCTGGCTGCCTTAGTTGGTAGAGCATATGACCCTCGATCTCAGAGTTCTGAGTTAGAGCACTAATTGGGTATAGAGATTACTTAAAAATAAAATCTTTTAAAAATAAATAAATAAATAATGTTTTTATATAACAAGGTTTGTTGGATGCAATTCTGATGGGAATACAGTGAATCACTGAAATCAACGGAGCTAACAATCTCCTGCTATGGAAATGTTAGGTTAACTGATATTAAATAAGTGCTATATTAAAAAGAAACATAAAAATTGATAGAAATACTATTTATTAACTTCTGTCAATATCAATTTAGCAACAATCTTTGATAATAACGGTTTGGTTTTCGAAGTAAACAATATTACTTAACTAACAATATCCCTAAATTATAGTCCACATGTCCTCATTTTTGTCAGTTTGGCTAAGTTCAGCAGAATTCAGTTAGAAATTTCTATAAAATAAGTAAATCTACAGGAGATGTGTACAAAGCAAGCAATACTAAGAATACCTGGTTTATGAGAAATTTCCTTCTTTTCTTTCTGTCTAAGTTGTGAGATGTTGGCCAATTCTTTACTGGTATTGTCAGTGGAATAAAAAACTATATCATGTATGGTTTTGCTCTCTGGAAGATCTTGTTTCCTTTTTTTAACTGTAGTTGTTTCTATTACTTGAGAATTAACAACTGTGGATGAAGGCCCATTTGAAGAACTTGTTTTCTGGCTTTCATCATTGTAATTCCTTTTAGTGTCTTCTCCCTCATTTACCTTTTCCACAATATGTGTATCTGTTTGATCCATTAAAGGAGTTGGTGCTCTGGAGCTAAAATCTTGAGACCTTTTGAATAGCTTCACATGACTAGTCAACTTTGAAGCTTCCTGTGTTGAAAATGTTCTTGGACAAGCTAGGGAAGTATGCTCAGGATTGCCATGTGAGTGATCAAAAGAAGTTTCACATGCACATTGTTCATAATTTGCAATATGTTGTTCAGGACCCATTGTATTATCTGAATCAGAAAGATCAACAGCTTCCTGTTGTGGAAGTATGATTAACCTGCATGCTTTTAATTCATTTTCCTGTGAAAAATGGTTTTCAGAAGGGAAAAACTGAAGAAAATCCATTTCTTCTCTATTTGTTATATTCTCATTATAATTACAGTGGTTTTTGCAACCTGTAAAACATACCAGTCTTTTACATGCTATAGTCTTCTCAGAAGTAAAGCAATCATCATCATCAATGTTATTAAAATTTTCCTTTATAAAGGATGCAAAAGAATGTTCCCACTTATTAAGGCTCTCACCTTTTTGACCTGAGTTACCGTTTTCAGGAGATTTATAAGGGCTAATGTGCTGCTGTTCTTGGTGAGTATGAGGCTGCTGATCTGTGGTAACAAGTGGTAACTTGATCTCTTTCTGTAAGGAAAGTCCTGAGAAAAGAACAGCTTCCTGTTGGTCAGTGGATTCTAAGAATTTTATTTCTTGATTATCTGATAAATCTAGGCTCTGGGTATGTGTCTCTCTGGGAACTGAACAAGCCTCAATATTGTTACCTAATCCATTTTTCAGGCTTGACAGAGGTGGGCTAAAAAGTTTATGTGACTTTTCTGGAAGATCATCAAAGGCTTGGAGATTATCTTGCTGACTATTAACCAATCTGTTTCTTCTTCTAAAAGAAGAAAGAGCTATTATCTTTCTTGGAATGCATATTTCTTGTTTTGCATCATCCGCTTGAGTTCTTTTATGTTGTGTGTTTCTTCTTCCTTTATCATTAGACACATTTGTGTTAGGACCTTTGACATTCTGAAGACTCTTCTTTCTGAGTCCCTTAGTGGAGTGTGTTTGGTTAAGAGTTGATTGCTTATGCTTGGATTTACCAAATTTTGTGTCTCTGGAATCTTTTTGGTAAGGTTCATACACATCTTCTTTATTTATAAATAAACCTTCTTTACTTCCTTTATCAACTTTTCCAAGTTCTGACTTCTGTCTGTTGGAATGTTCATCACAAACAAACCCAATGAGATTTTTAGAACTGAATTGTGGTTTCTAAAGAAATAAAACATATAGTTAGCTTTGATTTTCAGCTGTAGTTCTATACTCAATTAATTCAGGATTATTGATAAATCAAACCATTACTTCATTCAATTTTGTGATTTGATCTAACCACAGGGCCTGATGGGATATATACAACCTGATATTTAAAAAAGACTAATAGAAAAAGGCAAATGTAGTAGACTAAGACTCATTATGTGTTCTAATCTGTATTTTCTGCTTCACATTTTAATTTGTTTTTGCCAGTATTTAGCAGCATTAATCTCATTAAGCATAATAAAAAATTTAATCTACTTAATTTTTATGGGCTTTAAGCATAATCAAACAAGAATGCTTTAAAGACACTGTCCTCTCCTAATTGTTATATACAATTATACTGTTATATACAGCTAGAATTAAGAGAATTCTTTCATCTAGTGTCTGTGACCGACTGTAGGTAGGGCAGAAGAAGAAGGGATTTAAAAACAAGAAAAGAGATATGCTCCCAAACTGATCTGCATGAAAAAATTATTGTGGGCTGCTAAGATTAAAACAGGGACACCGCTTCCTCTCACTGACCACAACCCAAGCACCAGATGAAGAGTAACTGCCCACTATATCAAATTTGAAGGAATGGATCAACACCTTTGGCTCTTGTACTGTGCTTAGGCCAGAGGAAATTCGACATGGTTGATAAACCTCCTGGCTCCATGAAGAGGAGGACAAAGGAAATGGCTACTGATACATCAGTGTGCCGAGACAAGCTATTTACTCAATTGCTTCGCAAACTAACAGCCCAGAACCCTCCGATTCTCATGTAATTATTCTAAAGTTTCTTAAAAGTAAAGGTGAAGTCACTATTCCTGATGAATGCTTCAGGCATCTTTCTTTCCACTCTGATTATCTATAAAATAAGCAGCAGGTTCATTCCATAAACATGTTTATTGCTAAACAGAGCTATACCTTGTGCTGGCGTGCATCCTCTATGTCTAATGGGTCGGTGCTGTTCTTTTGAGCTGTAAACAAAAAGAGAAAATCAAAGAAAATAGCCTCTAGTGGTCAGACTCTAGATTTCTAAAACCCACCTGTCCTTTGCCATGAGAAAACCAGAGAAATAAGTGAAATTATGCAAACATTTTCCATTCAAATTGGCACATATAACATTCCTATAACTGATAGTTCTCCTATGTTTTAGAAGCCCCACACTATCTTGAGAAAGCTGAAAACATTTCTGTAGGAAAAGCAATATGGCTCCAACAAAGTAATACCAAAGGCTGGCAATAAACTCACTATTTTAACATTCCCCATAGATATATCCAGAAACACAACTGTTGGCAAACTACTTTTAGAAGGCAAAAGATTCTTTCATAATTTACTGGATTATCATTTTCTAATGTCTGCTTAATAAGGTTCTAGTTTGAATGCTTCATTCTCTTTATTTATTTATTTTTAAAGATTTTATTTATTTATTTGTCAGAGAGAGAGAGACAGAACACAAGCAGGGAGAGCGACAGGCAGAGGAAGAAGCAGGATTCCCCGCTGAGCAAGGAGCCCCATGTGGGACTCGATCCCAGGACCCTGGGATCATGACCTGAGCCGAAGGCAGCCGCTTAAGTGACTAAGCCACCCAAGTGTCCCTGAATGCTTCATTCTCTTAAAAGTGAAACATACATGCAGGGAAAAGGTTGCTCTTGAGAATGACTAAGTCAAAAAACGATGGTATGAATAAAATATACCTAGGTTGATAATAAAAAAAAAAGTACTTTAGTGTCTCTTTTAAATACTAGAGGTGGAATTAGTTACCTACATACGCATTTGGTCACAAAAGATAAAAACCTAGAAACAGTGCTTTGCACATAGGAGGTATTCAATGATTATTTAATAGAGGAAGGAATAAATGAATGCAAATTCTTTAAATACATTATGAACTAGAAATTTAAAAATATTTTAAGAGGAATGTAGCTGGGAAAAAGAACATTTTATTTCTTGGGAATAATTTTCATGGCAGCAATCAAATTATAATGTCCATAATGAGGCTTGGCATTCACCTATTCACCTCATGCAGGAGAGTTGACACACACAACGTCCTTCAATGAAGCAAAGGAGCTGGGAGCAGTCTCTGGAGCCTACTCCTGAGTTTCTATCTTCACTCATTTGCTTAACAGCTGGGTGACCCTGGGTTAAGCTTCTTAGTATCTCTGCCTCAACTCCATAAAATCAAAGTAGTAACAGTCCTTGTTATAGAATTGTTATGAGGATTAAATAAGATAATCCATGTAAAGACTTTAGGGGAGTTCTTGGCACAAAGAAAATGCTCCATTATTAATTTTGTTTTTATTATTTTTCAGGAGCAAAAAGGACTGTGTGCCTTCTCCTAACTTTGGTTCTTAAATAGAAGAGCAGGGGGCACTTGGGTGGCTCAGTGGGCTAAGCATCTGCCTTTGGCTCAGGTCATGATCCCAGGGTCCTGGGATTGAGCCCTGCATCTGGTTCCCTGCTCAGTGGGGAGCCTACTTCTCCCTCTCGTCCCCACTCTTACTCTCTCTCGCCATCTCTGTCTCTCTCTCAGATAAATAAAATCCTCTTAAAAAAATAAATAAAAATGTTTTAAAAGAGCAGAAGAATGTTTTACAGGAACCACCATTTGGGGCATGGTTCCTAAGAGAATCTGGAAGCAAGAAAGGGGCTTTTCTCCCCTCTCACTTTGTTTTGTTTTCTGTATAGAAAGCATCTTTCAACTAACATCTTTTTTTTCTTTTCATCTTATTTAAATTCAATTAATTAACATATAGTATATCATTAGTTTCAGATGTAGAGCACAGTTATTCATCAATTGTATATAACACCCAGTGCTCATTACACCACATGCCCTCCTTCATGCCCATCTCAGTTTTAAGAGTCTATATGCTCTATTATAACCAACTTAAAAAAAAAAACTACACAGATATAAATTCTGAGGTGGTGAATTTTAGTGACGTAGATGTAATTCTTTTCACTCTGTTACTCCAAGCTCTGTCATATGTAAGGTACTGTTTGAAGTATTTTACATACATCAACTCTAATCCTCACAATAACAATCCCACAGATATATAGGTAGAGGAGTAGATATTATAAGCCCACATTTACAGATGAGAAAACTGAGAGTGTTAATTTACCTCAGGCTATAAAATTAGTAAGAATGAACTCTTGTCCTATACTAAAGTAGATGTATTGTACTCTACAACACAAAAGCACCAAATATATATTGCATGAGGAAGGGTCCTTTATCCATCATTCCCATAATTAAAAGCTCTTCAACTGAAATTTAAAAACAAATACTGTTTGATATTCTTTATTTAAGTGAACTAATTTTTTCATTTATATTGATAAGTAAGCTGATAATTAATGACAGACTTTGAAAGTTCAAACTTAAGAAATATTCAAACCACCTGATGAAGCACGATAATACAGCCCACCCCGTAAACTGCCTCCCTAAAGAAGAGTGGGAGCTAACTCCTAAGAAGAAAGGCTTGGGATTCCTTCCCTGAATGAAATTCCCTTGGGTAAGTATAGGTCAGAAGTGGGCACTGGTGAAGAGGAGATTCTGGATTTGGAGAAGGGCTAAAATGCTGGAGAAAGCACTATCAGCACAGCAAAACAATGCATGCTACCATAAAATAGAGAAGTCAAGCAATTAATCAGATTATCAAAATAAAAAACATAAAAATACACATACTTTTGCCTCCAACTGAATATCTGCAATTTTTCATATAGCTTGAAACGTAAATATGAGTGCAATAATCTATACAGTTTATATAAATACGAATATAATAATCTATCGCAGTGTGCTTTTATAGACCTGGCCTCAACAAGGTGGAGTCTGTCCCTCTTATTTTCTGATGAGATTGGGCTAAAGGGGAAGAAGTCTTTTGTTCTAAAGAACCATTAATTAATTACCTCTTGGTGGACTTTATCAATGATGTTATCTCTTTATTATAAAGTAGGCTGTTTTAATCCAAGTCTTAGTCCTTAGTCAATAGCATTTAAATAGTTACCTCTTTAGGGAAAATTTTATTAAAATATAGTTTAATGGGGCGCCTGGGTGGCTCAGTCAATTGAGCATATGCCTTCGGCTCAGGTCATGATCCCGGGGCCCAGGGACAGAGCCCCAAGTCGGGATCCCTGCTCAGCGGGGAGTCTGCTTCTCCCTTTCCCTCTGCTCCTGCCTCGTGCTCTCTGTCTCTCAAATAAATAAATATTTAAAAATATAAAATATAGTTTAATAAAATTGAATGAAGCACATACACATCTCTTGAAGGTAAAGAGTTCATTTTGTTTGTTGTGTTTAAAAGGACTAACACACTACTTATTCAACAAATATTTACTGAATGCCTACTGTATACAAGGCATTTTAGTACTCATCACCAACTAAATAAAGATCCTTTCCTTCATTGAGCTTAGATTCTTGGGGAAAAACTGAAAATAAAAAATAAATAAACTGTCCAATGTGTTAGAAGGTGTAAAGTGCTATGGGAAAAGGGTAAATAGAATAGTAGAGTAGGGTAAGAGGGGTTGGAATGAGTGTGGCAGTTTGAATAATATGTTCATAAAATTTTTGATACTCCTCCTTTCAAAAGGTGGAACTTCCCAGACTTAGTGACTTACTTAGAACAAATAGAATATGGCAGAACTGGTTGTATATCACTTCCAAGATTAAGTTATAGAAAGCTTGTGGCCTCTGTCTTGGGTGCATTCTCTCTCTTGGATCACTTGCTCTGAGCCAGCTGCCAGGCTGTCAGCAGGCCTAAGGAAAAAGCTCATGTGGCAAGTAACTGAGGCCTCTAGCGAACAAGCAGCGAGGAACTGAGGCCCGCCAGCAACCATGTGAGTGAGCTTGGAAGTGGATTTTCCTGTTCTAGCTGAGCCTCGAGATGACCACCCCTCACTAAGAGCTTGGCTGCAACCCATAAGAGACCCTAATCCAGAACTTGTTACTCACTTGAAAGGCTTTCAGACTTCTAATCCTCCGAAACTCTGAGAGATAATAAATGTTGTTTTAAGATGCTAAATTTTGGGTAATTGTTGCATAGTGATAGATAACTAGTACAGTGAGGGTGGGAAGGAGGCAGGTTGCAGCAGTATTAACTAGGATGGTCTAGGCCTCCCTGAGAAGATCACATTTGAACTAAGACTTGAAGGAGGTGGAGGAGGCCCATCTGAAGAACAGCAAGGAGGCCAGTGTGACTGAAGTCTAATGACAGAGGTAGAGAATGGTAGGAGAAGAAATTAATTGGGGTAGACAGCTATAGGGGCCTGTAGGCCACTATAAGGATACTGACATTTCTTCTAGATTAAATGGAGAGCCACTGCAGGGTTTTGAGCAGAAGAATGCTGTGATCTTACCAAAAATCTAACAGACACATTAAGGAGAATATAAAGAAAGTGCCATATATGTAAATTCTTCTTATTGGCAACCATAAATCGAGTTCTTTTGTAGTTCAATTTTTACCAGTGTAATGGATAACAGGGTAAAAATACAGCCATAAGAAAAGATCGTTAGGGAATAGAAATGGAAATAAACAATCCTGGCCATACTCATCAAGAAAGATACAGCCAAATATAATTTACATCATATCATGTTACTCAGCCAAAAAATTGTCAGGAAAAAAAGAACTTTATAAAAGTTTTCTTAACTGTTTGCAATGCAAAGCACCAGTGAAAAGTACATTTGATGTTATTTCTCTTTGTTCTTTTAGAGTCCTACCATTATGTGCACTTGCAAACAAGCCGGTGTGCTTTATTAAAGGAATGGAGCAAGGACACCACTGGATGGATTTTCTCAAAACTAAGGAGGAAAAGAAACTTAATTTCTATAATTCTAAATTCAATTTCTGTAACTCTCTACAAATATGATAAACAGATATAACAGGGCAGTTGAATCTTACCTGATGTAAGAAGATGTTTTTGGTGTTTAGGAATATATTTCTCAAGGAGACGCTTCATACATGAATCTTTGGCCTCATCCAAAGGACACTTTCCACTGTCATTTCTAAGTAACGGATCGGCCCCATTCAAAAGAAGTAACTCTGCCACCTATGGGAAGACTGTTCACGTAAGCATGCCCAGACAAAAGGTATATTATTGTAATGTGTGCTAACATACAACTCTAAGCAACATCTGATATTTCTTTCAATAACAGAGTTTGGGTTTACCTACAACAACTTTGCCCAATAAAAAAATTAATGTAATTGCGACTGAATCATAATTTGTTGATATACATACCCTTATCTTATAAAATAAAGAGAAACAGGGAGAGAGGGAGAGCGGTAGAGAGGAAGAGGGGCAGACAGGGAGAGGGAGGGAGGGAGAGACTGAAAGAGGAAAGGTCAGAAATGTATCTAGTCCAGATGCTGGTGAAATGGAGCTGGCAGATATACCAAGAATTAGTATTGGGTTCTGTAGTAGTAAATATAAGTTTAGCAGGTTCCAGGAGATGGTTATGTCTTCTGTCTATAACTATGTTGCTGCTGCCCCTCCTCAGAGTGTCAGGGAGAAACCAGTCAACCCTTAATCTATTACTACTCCTCAAGTAGTCTCCTCTATGAAGCACTCCCCGACCTCCCATCCATTGCTGCTCTAGAGGAAAATGACCTCTCCCTTCTTTCAGGTACATATTTTATCACAGTGCACAATATATATATTTATTATTATATTACTTCTTATGTATATCTCTCGCCTGTACGCTAAGGTTTCTGAGGGTGGGACTACTTTTTTCTTTTAAAATTTATTATTTTTGAATAGGGAATTAATGAATATCGTTCAAAATACAGAAGGCTCAGAAAAGTATACAATGAGAAATACGTTTCCCTCCTCTACCCTTGTCCTCCAGTCATCCAATTTTTTCCTAGGCCCTTGTTATAGTTTCTTCTGAATTTTTCCACAGCTAATCTAGTCCAACATGTATATATATGTATGTATACATATTTTTTCTTATGCAAGTGGTCATATAGTATATACATTCCCTCATATTTTGCCCCTGAATAACAAAGCTTTGAGGTTGTACCATATCAGTATAAAATGAACTTCATTATTTTTAGCATTTACGGAATTGTCTACTATTAAATGTACTTTACTTTATTTAACCAGTACCATCCCAGTAGATGTTTAAGTTGCTTTCAAGCTACAGATATATGTCTTAATCATCTTTACATTGCCAGTGCCTATCTCAGTGTCTGGCATAGAGTAAATATTCAATAAATATTACTTAATAAAAGAATGCATGTAATCAGGGAGGATGTGGGGAGTAGGGTCTAAGTAACCCTACACTACAAGGAGACTAAATTTTCATGTTAGTATCTGGAATGAGAAAAAGGACCGGAATTTCTGTAAATTGTATATACCCCTCAAATTAAATATATATGGATTGTTCCTTTTATAACAGATCATACTAGGAGAGAAAAACATAATACCACAAAGAGACAATATAAGCCAGATCCCTTGAAAATTATTAAGACTCAGCAATTCTGTTTCTCAAACTATTTTATTATGAGAATTTAATGCTAGATAGGGAAATTGAAAGTAACAGTATATATAATTAAATCTATAATTCATATATAAACCAAGTGTAAGAGGATAACGAACTTATGTCTGGATCTTCATGTTTTGTTCAGCAAAGAAAATAAAAAGTATACAGCTTTCTTTTAGGAAAAGAAGTTTTGGGAGGGAGGGAGGAAGATGGCAGAGGAGTAGGGGACCCTAGTTTTGTCTAGTCCCTAGAATTCAGCTAGATCGCTATCACATCATTCTGAACGCCTGTGGACTTAACTGGAGTCTAAAAAAAGAACTGCTGTAATTCTACAAATAGAAAAGTGACCACTTTCTGCAAGGTAGGAGGTACAGAGAAGTGAATCTGAGGTGATATATTGGAAGATAAACTGCAGAAGGGAGTCTCAGTCAGCCAGCTACTGGAAAGTGATAGCAGAGCACAAAATGAAAACTTTTAGAAGTCTGTTCCAGTGGGGAACATCCCTGCCTGAAAGGTGCTCAGGTAGTAAAGTTGGGGCAGAATCCTAGGTGGGATAGCATGGTCTCAGGATCCCCGGGGTCATAGGCAGACCGGGCATATGTGAGTGCGGCAGGGTTCCCAAGCATTGGAGTGGGGAAGCCAGCTGTAATCAGTGAGCCCAGGCATGAGCTTTCAGCTCCGGGTTGCCATAAACCGTAAACTGGCAAGGTCGGGTGACTGCTCTCTGAGAAGGGGCCCAGCAAGCTGCAGAACTGCGGTTAAGAACCCCCTTCCACCCCAGGAGTCTACAGGGTTTGGAGACTCAAAACGGGGTCATGTGCCTAGATAAGAACGCTTGGTCACAGGCTGGGTGAGCACAGAGAGTGGACGGAGACTAGGGAGACAGGAGTAACAGATTGCTTTTCCCTGAGGGTGTACTGGGGAGTCGGGGGTGTGAGCTTTTGGCTCCAGGGCTGGAGACTGAGAGGCTGCCATCTTCATTCGCATCCTCTAAAGCAGTGCAGAAAGCCTTTAGGGAACAAAAGCCACATAGAGCAATCTGGCCCTGCTTACTTAGCCTGGCCTCTTGGTGCATTTCCACTCTGGGCAGAGACACCTGAGAATCAGAGCAACAGGCCCTTCCCCCAGAAGATCAGTAAGAACATCCAATGAAGACCAAGTTTACCCATTCATGACAACTGCAAAACTCCAGCACTAAGGGAAAAGAGTACATAGAATTCATGAGTTTTTTCCTTCATGATGCTTTGGTCTTTTGATTTTAATTTTTTTCCCTTTTTCCATTTCAACTAATTTTTAATTTTATCAGCTCTTTTTTTAAGTCTTTATATTCATTTTTACAGTTACATTCTATCCTTTCATTGTATTTAATTTTATTTTTGTATATACATGTTTTTCTTTCTTTACAATTTTGGGATCTAGTTTCTTCTAACAAACAAACCAAAATACACCCAGGATCTAGTGTATTGCTCTGTTCTGTTCACTTGTCTGATTATATTCTTTCTCTCTCTTTTTTCCTTTCCATTTCTGGTCTCCTCTGATTTGTTTAGTATATATTTCTTTGGGGTTGTTGTGGCTATTCTAGTATTTCGTTCTCTTGTTCATCTATGCCTTTCTGGACAGATAGACAAGATGGAAAAACTCACCCCAAAAAAGAGAACAAGAGGCAGTACTGACTGCCAGGGACCTAATCAATATGAACAGAAGTAAGATGTTAGAACTAGAGTTCAGGGGGTGCCTGGGTCGCTCAGATGGTTCAGCGTCTGCCTTCAGCTCAGGTCATGATGGCAGGGTCCTGATATTGAGCCCCGCATCGGGCTCCCTGCTCGGTGGGGAACCTGCTTCTCCCTCTCCCAAGAAGCCTGCTTCTTCCCCTGCTTGTACACTCTCTCTCTCTCAAAAATAAATAAAATCTTAAAAAAAAAAGAACTATAGTTCAGAATAATGATTATAAAGATACTAATAATACTATTAATGGGATGAAATAAAAAATGGAGGCTCTAAATGCTAGGATAAATGAGACAGAAGAGAGAATGAGTGATATAGAAGACAAAAGGATGGAGAATAAAGAAAGTGAGAAAAAGAGAGATAAACAACTACTGGATCACAAGGGGAGAATTCAAGAGCTAAGTGATACCATAAAGCAAAACAGTATTAGAATAAATGGGATCCCAGAAGAGGAGGAAAGATGGAAAGGGGCAGAAGGTATACTTGAGCAAATTATAGTGGAGAACTTCTCTAATCTGGGGGTAGAAACAGGCATTTCAAGTTGAGGAGGCACAGAGAACCCCCCCTCAAAATCAATAAAAATAGGTCAGCACCTCGACATATAATAGTGAGGCTTGCAAGTTTCAGAGAAGAGAAAATCCTGAAAGCAGCTCCAGACAAGAAGTCCTTAACCTACAAGGGTAGAAACATAAGCCTGGTGGCAGACCTATCCACAGAAACCAGACAGGCCAGAAAGGACTGTCATGATATATTCAGGGTGCTAAATGAGAAAAATATGCAGCCAAGAATACTGTATCCAGTAAAGTTGTTATTCTGAATAGAAGGAAAGATAAAGAGCTTCCAGAACAAACAGAAACTAAAAGAATTTGTGATCACTAAACCAGCCCTGCAAGAAATATTAAAGGGGAATCCTCTAAGCGAAGAGAGTCCAAAAGTAACAGACCAGCAAGGAACAGAAACAATATATAGAAACAGTGACTTTATTTATATAATACAACGGCACTAAATTCATATCTATATTCAGTTACTCTGAATATAAATGGGCCAAATGCCCCAATCAAAAGACAAAGGGTATCAGATTGGATAAAAAAGCAAGATCCAACAATATGCTATCTACAAAAGACTCATTTTAGATCCAAAGACAGAGCCAGATGGAAAGTGAGGGGGTGGAGAACCATTTATCATGCTAATGTACATCAAAAGAAAGCTGGGACCAGAAACTAATAATACACTGTATGTAAACTAACTGGAATTTGAATAAAAGCTTTAAAAAAAAAAAGCTGGGATAGCAATCCTTACATCAGACAAATTAGATTTTAAACTAAGGATGGTAATAAGAGATGAGGACAGACACTATATGAGAATTAAAGGGCCTATCCAACAAGAAGAGCTAACAATTGTAAATATTTATGCCCCTAACATGGGAGCAGCCAATTATATAAACCAATTAATAACAAAATTAAAAGAGCACATTGATAAAAATACAGTAAGAGTAGGGGACTTTAACACCCCACTCACAGCAATGGACACATCATCTAAGCAGATCAACAAGGAAACAAGGGCTCTGAATGATACACTGGACTAGATGGACTTCACAGATATATTCAGAACATTCCATCCCGAAGCAACAGAATACACATTCTTCTTGAGTGCACATGGAACATTCTCCTGAATATATCACATACTGGATCACAAAACAAGTCTCAAATGCTACCAAACGATTGGGATTATTCTCTGCATATTATCAGACAATAATGCTTTGAAACTTGAACTCAATGACAAGAAGAAATTTGGAAGGAACTCAAATACTTGGAGGTTAAAGAGTATCCTACTAAAGAATGAT